TACACCTTAAAAGAAATATAAATGCATCAGTGTATGATAATCCCAGGAATAAGAACCACCCTTTGGATTGGGAGTTGATATTTAATTGAATGGATGTAACCTAAAAGTTTACAGGAAACTAAAATTCAGAAGAAGTGAGCCAGGGAGGATATGTAATTCCCAGATTTATTGCCACCTCCTATCTTTTGATTTTGAACTTGAAGACTATCAGCAAAGCACACTAGTCAGTCTTAAGAGCTAAAAAGAGAATGGAAAGGAAAACAGACCCAAACCTTTTAGAGATTCATAAATCACATCTTTGTGATTTAATTCTTTTTTAATTCTCTCTTGAAACAAATCAGAAGTCAGAACAGTCCACAAAATGATGCACTTAAATCCCCTGTGCAAACATGCCTGACACACTCTGTAGGGACCCAAGCTTCCAGGTGGTATAGACATGGCAAAAGTAAGCCAAAATCACAACAAACAGACATCAGCAGCTATTAACTTCTCAAATAATTACAACAAACTTTCTGTATTTCTAAGCACTGAGAGCTTATCAACTGCTTCAGGAGAGTAAGGAAATTGTCTATCTTGTTCATCACTGTTTCCCTAGACCTGCAACAATAATTGGTACGTAATAGGCCTTCAATAAATATTTACACCAATTATTAGGCAAATTAATATTACCCTTCACAAAGATGATGACAAAAGATGAGACAGTAACTTATCTGTACTCTAAGCAAGATGTTAAGATATTTATGAATTCTTAGAGGTTATTTTTGATAGCGCTAACTTTACATCTAAGGTATATAAGCATACACATTTTCTAGTGGTAAATTATCAAGGATATTATAAAATATTAAACAACTAGTGAAAAATTAGTATGAAAAATGTATTTCCTTTTGATCTGTATATTAAAACTATTGGGTGTTATATGGAAACCAACTTGACAACAAACTATTTGGAAAAAAAAAAGATTTGTATTATGCATAAACAAGCTTTTCTCAGACTTATCTTATGCTTAAAGAAAAGTTATTAAAAGTAATGATTCATGACTCAAAAAAATTAAATTAAAAAATTTAAAAAATTTAAAAAAATAAAACTACTGTCAAGTAATTCAAATTGAAATTCAAGCTATTCAACTCATTCCAATAATTTCCAATAACTTTTTAATTTTTAGAAATTGCTGGTGTAATCTTCTATATGCTGCAGCCATCCCTGGCTAAACAACGCGCTAAGTCAAGTCACAATTTGATGTAAGAATCCACACCAAACTCTTGTAACAACTTCCCCGTTAAATGTATTGTCATGACTCCCCAGCTCCTTATTCTTGTTACATCCCAGGCAGATCAGGAAACAACTTGAGCACCGTGATCAGGTATGTTCCTGGACATCAGAGAGACTGGACCAAGGACAGAGAGCACCCATAATAACAATGATGCCAATACCACCTACCTACCACCCTATTCAGTTTGGGGCCACCTTGCAGGAGGGCAAGGGTTGCATCCCCACAATCATCACTTGCCACCACCCCTCGCTGCCTGCTGCCTCCGTGCCCTCAGCAGCTCTGGGGGACCAGCTGTGTCCACACCAACACTCTCCGAGGCCCTACCTAACACTCTTCTCTACTGGGCAACAGCATTGGGTAACTTGCAGTCCCAATGAGAGGAGGATTTCTCTTTACTCACTAATACAGTAGAATTTTAATGTTTAAAAAACAGGTTTGAGGGGCGCCTGGGTGGCTCAGTCTGTTAAGCATCCAACTTCGGCGCAGGTCATGATCTCACGGTTCGTGGGTTTGAGCCCCACGTCGGGCTCTGCGCTGACAGCTCAGAGCTTGGAGCCTGCTTCGGATTCTGTGTCTCCCTATCTCTCTGACTCACCCCTGCTCACACTGTCTCTCTCTCTCTCTCTCTCTCTCTCTCTCTCTCAAAAATAAATAAAACGTGACAAAAATTTTAAAAACAGGTTTGACAACACAGCTATGTACCAACTGATAATCAACCCTGAGTATTACTATCAGGTGGTCATAACACTACGTTGAAACATCTTTAATACAAATGAATCGTTAATCTGTTCATCTGGAAGACAATTTGAGTGATTATTCAGAAGATATCCATTAAAAATACTTCAATTTATAAATTACTAAGACCACAGAAACAAACTAATTCCAATTAGGGTTAAAAAGTAGCTAAAAAAGGTGGTCAGGGAAGGCTTGCCTGAGAAGCAGAAATCTGAGCAGAGATTCCAAAAAGTGAACAACAAAACCACGTAGATATCTGAAGGAAGAACATTCCCAAGTCGAGCTGCAGAAGAACTAACTTCAAATGCCCTGAGGCTGGGACATACTTGGCATGTTGAGGGATGGCAAGGTAGCCATTGGGGTGGGAAAGTAATGTGTGAAGGGAGATCAGTGAGAGATGAGGTAGGAGAGGTATACACAGGCAGGTCTTGTGTGGCCGTGAAAACAATGGTAAGGAATTTGGATTTGACAGTAGGTGTGATGGAAGGCTGTGGGAAGATTGTGAGCAAGCAAATGGCATGTCAGATTTACGTATTCATGGGATTCACAAGAAAATGTATTATCTGTGTATCTTTTATATGTCTTAATATTTTTTATATTTTTAACTCTCTGCATCCTCTACTGCACTGTGTTAAATGCTGCTTTGAGGTTGAATAAAATGAATCCTAATAATTGAACATTGGATTTGGCAATATGGAGGCCATTAGCGATCTTGACAGAGATTTGAAATTGCTGGGAAGTATTGGTGGGAGGTGGGGTGTGGGGGAAAGGATCCTAACTGAAGTGAACTCAAGGGAAAATTGGAGCAGATGATTGGAGAGATAGCAAGTATAAACACCTCTTTCAAGTTTGCTGTAAAATGGAGCAAGAAATAAAACAAGTTGGAGGACCTTGAGGGACTAAGTAAGGAGATGCTACATTCTGTTTGTATGTTGACTGGAAAAATCCAGTAGAAAAGATTTTTTTTTAATGATGATCTAGGAATAGGGGAGGGTATGTGACAGAGGTAAATCTTCGAGAGAAGTGAAAAGGGAGAGGACCTAATCTGCAGAGGTGAAGAAGTTGTCATTAGATAGTAGCAGAGACAGTACCTCTTTTTTTTTTTTAAATGTTTTATTTATTTCTAGGAGAGAGAGAGAGAGACAGCGTAAGCAGGGGAGGGTCAGAGAGAGAGGGAGTCACAGACTGAAACAGGCTCCAGGCTCTGAGCTGGCAGTCAGCATAGAGCCCGACGCGGGGCTCGAACNCAGGGGAGGGTCAGAGAGAGAGGGAGTCACAGACTGAAACAGGCTCCAGGCTCTGAGCTGGCAGTCAGCACAGAGCCCGACGCGGGGCTCGAACCCACGAACCGCGAGATCATGACCCGAGCGAAAGTCGGACGCTTAACCAACTACGCCGCCCGGGCGCCCCCAGTACCTCTTTTTTTAATACAAAGTAAAGAAAAATATGTGGGTTACAGACAACACCACATTTGGTGATGGGAAGATATGGATGTTTCTGGTGGCTTATATTTTCATAAACAAGGAAGAAATGCCTGAGACTTAACAGAACTGTTGCTATGAAGCTGGACAGCCAGGACATTAAAGTTCACCTAACTGAAGTCATAGGGGTGGGAGAGGAGCACAAAACTATGTGACGATTAATTATGAAACAATATGTCATATTTGAGGCATAAAGAAATAGAAGTATAAATAGTATACACCACACTCAAAAATTCATCAAGCATAAACTCCTCAGGTGCTTTTTAATCCTTTTAAGAGTTCTGGGATGTTACAATTATTACTTATACTTAGATCACACTGACAGACTAGACACCTGTTTTTTCTGGTCACATACTTAAGGCTACATATCAGTATTATCATTTAACTTGCTTCCTATTTTATGACCTGAAAATTAATCTTACAAGGTTACAGCTATTGTGGCTTTTATAACTTCATTCCACTTTTTTTCTGATCTGCTAAGAAGAATGCTTACCAATGTCAGTTTCCTGATCATTCTCCCTGAGTTTGGGTGTGGCCAGACGATACTACTAGCAACCTTATATCTACCTAATTAGAGAACAATAAAGTTGACCTTTGAAAGTATGCACTATCAGAAAGTGTTTTCTCTTCATCTATTTTAAGGGTTACATTTGTTCTCTATGCATATAAATAATTGATGAGAATGAGACTAAATCAATGAACATTTGAAAATATTTTCTACAACTGTATTACATCTCAACTGTATTTAATCTCAAGATATTTAATTAAATATAATTGCATTTAATCTCAAGATATTTAAGTGTTTTGGGGCGCCTGGGTGGCTCAGTCAGTTAAGCTTCTGACTTAGGCTCAGGTCATGATCTCAGTTTGTAGGATGGAGCCCCACGTCCAGCTCTGTGCTAATAGCTCAGAGCCTGGAGCCTGCTTCAGATTCTGTATCTCCCTCTCTCTCTCTGCCTCTCTCCTGCTTATGCTGTCTCTCAACAATAATGTTTAAAAAATTTTTTAAGATATTTAACTGTTTGTCAACACTCATCTAAAGAAAACTAAAACTAAACTATGATAATTTCATGTATTGTACAGTTTTCCTTCCACTGGCTCATCTGTCAACATCTCTCCCAGAAATTAGAGCCGTTTTATGAAGGATTACTGTGAATATGGGCATCAGCACATTTCTAAAAGGTTCCCAGGTGTACAGTTCTCCTCAATGTCAGCATAATTCCATTTCTCCAATATCTTGAGCTAGATGTAGTTGCTGTCTGACAAAGCAGTGCGTGTTAAGGCTGTATTTACCCAATACAGCATTTAAAAATTGACTACTGTAACTGCTAATTTGCTTGTCTGTATTCCCCTCTAGGTGACGATTTCTGTGGGATCAGGGGCTGTGTCCATTTAGTTGATCTTTGTGTCCTCAATCTGACATATAGTAAGAGGTCAATAAAACATATGCTGAATTAGTGAAGGTCCCAGAACTTCGGAGAGTAGTTAGGAAGACCCACAGCGGTCCCACTTACCTGTGAGATCCAGAGTTCTGTCCACAAAGACCACTGATGCCCTGCCTGTGGCAGTCTTCCGTCTGTTCTTGGCAGGGGCATAATTAGCCAGATCTGCAGCGATGATCCGACTGAGGGAGCCTACGGCAAAACACTCCTCCCGCACCCTTAAATGCTCACACAGAGAACTGAGGCCTGACACCAGGCACCTGATCTTCAGAAACAGCTCAGGGGTGAGGGCGGCGGCATCCACCTCACTCAGGCTTCCTAGCCTCCTCCTGTCCGGTCGGGCACTGTTAAGGAGATGCACATCCTGGGGAAGCAGCGGAAAAAGGGAAGCGAAGGCTGGAGTCAAGGCGAGGTGGGGAGCCACAGGGGCGAGCAATAGCGGGACGTGCAGCACCTCGGCGGTGTAGTTCATATTGCCCATCCACTCACACAGCTTCTCCTCCAGTTGCTCGAACACCGGCTGCTGCCCCTCCAGCTCGGCCGCTGCAGCCGCTGGCACGTGGTTAGCGGTGAGGTGGACAGCGTGGTTCACGGCTGTGACCACCACACAGTACTGGAAGTGACTGCGACAGATGATATCCCGTAGGGTCTCCACGGTCCGGCCTTTCAGCAGGCAGCTCAACACGAACACCGCCTTAGGCTGCTTGGCTCCACCACCAACTGCGGCGGGCTCGAACTCCCGCAGGTGACACTCCGGACCTCCCACAGCCTCCAGAAGGCGCGTGGATCCGCAGCCCCAGTGCAGGCTCTCGGCGCAGGCGGCGTCCAGGTAGACCAAAGCCCGTTTCACTTTGGCCAGCACCTGCTCCCAGCCTTGCTGGGTAAAGGACAGCACGCCCGGGGCGCTCATGATTGGGGGCTCGCAAACTGCGGTAGGTCGAGTACAGGAACTTGTTTTAGAACTCACAGCTTCCGGGAATTGGGCTCCGGGAGGCTTTGACAGTCAACACAGTACACGTGGTGCTGCCTCTGACGCGTCCAGTGTCCGCGCACGTTGATGACGTAGCGGAGCGTGATTGGCTGGCCCAGAGAACGCGCGGAAGGACGGTGGGGGCTGGGAAGAAGTGGGCAGGGCTCGGTGGCTCCTGGGTGCTTTGAAGTGTCTACGCAGAGCTAAACTGTTTTCTTCTCGTTTCGTCTGTGCTCGGGTTACCTTTCCCTGCGTCTTGAGAAATCTCGGGAATAAGAAAAGCTAATCCGAAATTTGGCATTTTCTTTGGTTCTTGAGCACACCTCTAAAAGCCGCTGTGCTCATCTAAACCTAGAGCCGCCAATAGAAGTTAAAAACAACAAAGTGATGTGTAATGGATTGCTATAACACGTATGTTATAGCGCTCAAGCCTCATAAGAAACTTACTGGTCTCATTTTAACTTTCCCATTTTCTTTCTCTCATTTCATCGGCACTAAATCTGGATCTGCTTCAAAAATCCTAGATTCCAGCCCCTTTGGCCCATCCATCCTTGCCATCACTGGCTTAATCCACCATTATCACTCAGCTGGACGGTAGCAATGATCCCCCATCGTTTCCCAGTTTTACATCTCCCTCCAATTCAGTTTTCTTCCTAATGAACTAAGCTGGTCCTACCATTTCTGGCCCAGTTGCCTATAGGATACAGCCAGATTCCTTATAATGGCACCAAAATCGTTCATGATTTCTCAATTTCTCTCCAGCTACTCCCTGCCTAGAACACTATATACATGCACAACTAAGTCAACAGATTGAGCCCAGAATGTTTCACAAGTTCAGTTCAATGCAATCACTATTTGTTAAGCACTTACTAGGTATAATCGCTGACCCAAGCAACAAAGGCCTAACGATTAATAAAATTCCTTGATCCATGAAGAATTTTCACCTCTTCTAAGTATTTGCCATATCATGAGGTAAATTTTAACAACTTTGTTTTCTTACAACATTGTACACTAAAGGCCTGGCATATCCAACACTAGAAAATAGCATGTATTCAATAAATGTTGATTAAATGATCAATAACTGTTCAATTCATATCCATATAATAAAGGATATATTCAATCAACTTTTAATGGAAATGTACAATATTTGGGACACTATATTAAGCATTGAGAATAGAAAAAGGCACAGCCTTGCCTTCAAAAGAATCTGAAATGAAAGGACCCACACATGTAAAGAAAGCAAATGCATTACAGTATAGAAGCATTTTTTTTTAATGTATAAGAGTTACAAAGGAGGAAAAATAAATTCTGACTGACTTAAGGAAAAAAGGAAGTGGTCAGAAGAAGTTTCATATAAGACATGAGTTTTGAGTTGTCTTCAAAGAAAACAGGTGTTCACCAGGTGGACAGGATGGGGAGGAGCATTCCTGGCAGTTCAGGTAGAGATTGCAGCCTGGACAAAGGTATAAAGGCATGAAACCATATAACACATTCTCCGGAAATACACACAGTTTTGTATAGCTGGAGTGTATCGTTTGAAGAGAGGCCCAAGCTGAAACAAGAGCTAAGAACTAGAAAAAAGGGACAAGATCAGAGTGAGTCTTATATTTATTATAAATAGTAGCAGCCAATTGAGTTAAAGTATTGCTAGGAGTGGATATAATTTTGTTCACATCTGGAGTTTTAGCAGGGGAAAGGATTCTAAATGGAAAATGGTTTGATAAAATTTAAGACAGGGGAATATTTAGAAAACAGTCACAGCAACAACTCTGGGTAAGAACAGATAAGAATACCAACAAAGGGGCTGGACAGAGTGGGATATATAAAGCATGTTAAGCAGATGGAGTCCAAAAACCTAGTGACTAGATTGACAAAGAGAATAAGGGAGAGAGAGAATTACAGATTCACACCCAGTTTTCTGGCTGGATGACTGCTAAGTAGCTGTCACTGAGATTTGGAAAACCAGAAGAGAAGCAGATTGGGGAATAAATGCACTGAGTTCAGTCAGGATATGTGTTTGTTTGTTTGTTTGTTTGTTTGTTTAATTGTGGAAAAATACATAAAACTTACCAGTTAACCCTTTTTAAGCACAGAGTTCAGGACAGTTAATTATCTGCACAATGTTGTAAAACCAGGCTCCAGAACTATTTTATCTTGTGAAACCAAAACTTTACATCCACCAAACAACAACTTCCCATTGCCCTTTCCCACTGGCAACCACAATTCTACTTTCTATTTCTATAAGTTTACCATTCTAGATATCTTATGTAAATGAAATTATACAGTATGTCTTTCTGTGGTTTATTTCAGTTAGCATAATATCATCAAGGTTCATCTAACATATGTGTCAGAATTTTCTTCCTTCCTAAGGCGAAATTATATTCCATTGTATATACTATCGTGTATACTGCATTTTCTTTATCCATTCATCTGTCAGTGGGCATTTGGATTGCTTTCACATTTTGGCTATTGTGAATAGTGCTGCTAGGAACATGGGTATACAAATAACTCTTTGAGACCCTGATTTCAGTTCTTTTGGGTATGTATCTGGGAGTGGAATTGCTAGATCATGTAGTAATTCTATTTTTACTTTTTTTGAGAGATCTCTGTTTTCCAGAGCTGCTGTACCATTTTAGATTCCTACCAACAGGGCACAAGGTTCAAATTTCTCTGCATTCTCACCAAAACTTGTTACTTTCTGTGGTTGTTTTGATATTAACCATCCTAAATGAGCGGGGATTCGTTGTTTTGAAGGTACTGTGGGACATCCAGGTGAAAACATCTAGTAAGCAGTTGGATGTATGATTATAGACTGCAGGAAAAAAGTCTGATAATTTGAGTATCTGCAAATGGGTGTACCTGAGATTGCTTAAAGAGCATGAAGAAAGAAAGAAAATGAGAGTGATGGACAAATCGCTGAGCAACATTTCCTGATCTACAGAAGAAATGAAGCTAGTTAATAGACTTATGGGAGAAACAAGCTTCAAACAGAACGAGTAGGGGCATCTGGGTGGCTCAGTCCGTTAAGTGTTGGACCTTGTTTCGGATCATGATCTCACAGTACACGGGTTTGAGCCCTGCATTGGGCTCTGTGCTGACAGCTCAGAGATTGCTTCAGATTTTGTGTCTCCCCTGCTTCTCTGTTCCTCCCCCACCTGTGCTCTGTCTCTCTGTCTCTCAAAACTAAATAAACATTAAAAAAACTTTTTAAAGAGAGTGGAGTAATCAACAGTGGCAAATGTCTGAAAAGGGAAAAGTGAGATGGAATCTAAAAAAAAAAAAAAAAGGTGACAGACTATGAAATTGAGGTTAAAGAAAGTAGCTTGGCCCCTAAAATTCAGGAAGGGAACAGTACTGTGATGTAATAAGATCCAGAACATAGCCTTGAATGCAGACTGTTGAAGTGGAGTAAATGGAGGTTGTTGAATAATTAGATTCTAGGAAATTGGAAAATATGAGACAGCCAGGATGCGCAAGGCACTCATTTTGATGCCAAGTAGGAGAGAAAAGGAAGACTGTGGATCAGACCCCAACATCATCTGTGAATGAGGGGATATGAAGACAGAGAGGAAGAGGTAGTAAATGAGGATGCTATGTGCTGGCAAGGAGGATTTTCACAGGAAAATGGAACCATAATGGTATAATGGTGCCCCACAAGAGTCAGGGAAGTGGCAATACTACCTCAGGCTCTACAGTACAACAGGGTTAAGGGAAATGGTGGGCATCCAGTATAAAACGAATAGGAAAACTACTATCTTTAAAGAGAAGTTATATTTGTTTCAGTGAATGAATAAAGACATCCTTCTGCTAAAATATTGAGATACTGGACATGTATACATAATGGAACAAAGGTAGGGACCGAGAAGTAAATGCAGAATTGGGACATGAGCCTGAAGAAACTGGGGAAAAACAAATACAGAGAATGTAGGGAATGACACTCTAAGAGTTGACAAACAATGAATAAGAACTGAGGAGATATAGAGGACCCCATAAAGTTGTGCAGTGCACGACCTATATGGCCAAATGCAACCCAGGGCTGCCAGATCATGAAGAGGTTAGTAGACAACATGGCAGGAAGTTTGGGTTTTACTGTATGTGTAACAGGAGGCCACTGAAGGGTTTGTGTCACTCAAAATGCAGTGTGGCAGTGGAGATGGAGGGAGTTAGACTGATTTGGGATATATTTTACAGGAAGAACTAATGGGACTTGCTAACAGGTATTCCTCAGTATGAGAGGGACTCAGAAGGGAAAAACAGGAATCAAGGGTAATTCGTTGGGTTTTGGCTGGAACAATGTCGGATAATGATTATTGATCGAGGGAGTAGTATAGGAGTGGGACAGGACAGGTTTGGGAGGGCAACTTATAAGTTCTGTTTTTGGCATAAGTTTGACACGCTTATTCAACATCCAAGGGAGGCATCACTGAAACATCAGAGTGAGCTCAAGGAAAAGTTGAGACTGCAGATGGAAAAATGGGAGTCATTGGCTGTCAATGACATATGATCACATAGACAGTGTTAAAAGTCATGCATAAGTTTGACACGCTTATTCAACATCCAAGGGAGGCATCACTGAAACATCAGAGTGAGCTCAAGGAAAAGTTGAGACTGCAGATGGAAAAATGGGAGTCATTGGCTGTCAATGACATATGATCACATAGACAGTGTTAAAAGTCATGCATAAGTTTGACACGCTTATTCAACATCCAAGGGAGGCATCACTGAAACATCAGAGTGAGCTCAAGGAAAAGTTGAGACTGCAGATGGAAAAATGGGAGTCATTGGCTGTCAATGACATATGATCACATAGACAGTGTTAAAAGTCATGGGACTGGACAAAATGACCTTCAGAGACAAGGTACACAGAAAGGAGAATCCAGAAAAAAATCAATTCCTTATTCTCAGATATTAGGGTGGAGTCAAATGAATTCCTGCTGAAATTACATACTTAAAGGTAATCAGAATTACCTTATTTCAGTGTGATTTGTACTTCTTTGTTTAACATAATTAGCAATTATTACTGCCCACAAAACC